TTTTGCTATATATATATATATATGTATGATTAGGTCTTAATAAAAATGATTATAATTTCCACAAAAAGATTTAACATAAATAATACTAAATCTCATAAGAGTAATATAAATAATACTTACTAATACTAATATATATATATTAATACTTATTTTTTATTGTAATAGAAATAGAAATATAAATCATTAATTAAAATATCTTTTATTTCCCATAAATGCAATCTGTAGAACAGTATACAGAACAAGTGAGGACTTTGACTCAATAGTGCATCGAAACCTTTGATCGATTTATGGATGTAAACAAATTTCTTTTTTAACATCTTAGGAATCATACGATAGAGTCAATGGAGCCATTGACTCCATTTACGAGTAAATGTATTTAAAGCCAGCACCTGAATAGAAGAAGAAGGACCAAAGAACAAGTACTGAACTTGTAAAATTACCGGATGCTCCGAAAGTGAAGATAGAAGTGATAATCAATATCACTCCTGATGAGACCAAATCATTTAGGTAAAAAAGAAGTTTTTAATTAATATATTTATAGATGTTTGTAATAATAGAAGGTGCAAGTAGTAGTACAGGAAGAGCAGGAGGTATTTGAGAGATAGGAGGATCTCTTACAAATTTTATCGAATGCTAATTAGATAATTATTGATGATGATGATGACTCATCAATATTTAAGAAACTCTTAGATATGCTCAAGAAGGTTAAATTAAAGACTGTGTGGCATGTCTCTAATCATTTAAGAATTAAGATCAAAAGGAGAAGGAGTAAATTAAGAAGATAATACATATTCTTAAGAACATAAAAGACCATGAATTCAATTAGAAAGACTATTCCTCAGAACCATTTGAAGAGATGAAAAAGAATCTGATTAAGAAGTTGTAAGGTGATAAGAGCATGATTGAGTTACTTACATTTTTGGTCATGCTTACAAGTATAGATGATCAATTCATCTCCTGTGGATCCAATTCACTTCATATGTTAGTAATGATGAAGGTAGATCTCAGAAACTAATCATTTGAGAATATCAGAATAAAGAATACATCTATAATTGGAGGAAACTTTGTACGATGTAATTTGAATGGATCAGAATTTGAGAATGTGGATATTAGCGGAGTCATTTTTAATGGAGCTTAGATGTTCAATTATAAATGGAAGAACATAAAAGTCCATGAATTGAATAGGTTGGATGGCCATAGTAGTTGTGTTAGATCAGTCTGTTTCTCTCCTGATGGAAATACATTAGCTTCTGGTAGTGATGATAACTCTATCCGTCTATAGGAAATCAAAAAAAAGTATTGTTAAGATTATAGATTTAAAGAAATTTAGGTTAAAAATACAAGATATCCTTTTTTAAAACCCCTTTGCAGTAAAAAATATTATTTAAAATTTAGATACATCTAATATTATGGTTTACCCAGACTTCAATGTTTAAAGGTTTAAGATAGTTTTTTATAAAAAACCGCTTCCTTTTAAGACAATTCTTGGAGTAGCACTTGATTAATTTAAAAACTAACCTATATTAACCCTAACCCTTAATGTAAATCTATTTTAACAGACTTCTTGTGCCCAATATTCGTTGTTATTGTTCTATTTTATAGTTTTTTCTTTTTTAACAATCCTGAAGTTTAGGCATTACTAAAATTCAAATTAATTAGCACATTTAAAAATAGTATGAAATAAAACTTTTAGTTGCATGAATGCAATAATATCTTAAATCTTTGTATATTGTTTTTTTGGTATTATTCTTATCATAACCAAGCATTTTCTTTCAATTTATATTTAGAATGTGAATTGTATAAGATTTATAAAGTAGATTCTACAACTAAATCTTTCAGCATTTATAATTTCTAAGTTTTGTAATCTTCGTATTTCTTGAGAGTCAATATATTCTAATATTCAGGTTCACAAAATAATAATTTTTTCAACTCATATTTAAGTAACATTAATACTATTATTTTTTATTATGATTGATTTTATAAACTTTAAATTTTAACAATGTTATTGAACAATTTATTATGGAAATTTAAGAGAAAATACCCAAACATTTAAGTGTGGCTAATATGAATGCTTTTTTATATATTTAAATAATTTATCGCCCTATTTATCTTAGGAGGTTCTTATAGAGAAGATAAATTTTATTAAGATTGTTCATTAATGTTAATCAAATACCAATAATTATTTGCTTTTTTAATTCTAAAATTTAGGTGCAATTTCTTAATTTAATTGTAAAATATAACGATTTAATGAGTTTTTAAAGACTTAAGGGATATTATTTTTGGTTTACATATTAATTAATTTTGTAAAAATCATTTTGAAGGGACAACAGTGATTATATAGTTCTGACTCTTTACAAAGCTGTGTAAATTGAGTAATAACTGTTTATTATTTGATGTATGTAAAATTTCAAGTTGAGCTTAAGTTAATCAATAATTAAGATTCATATATAATACGGTTAGAGAAGATAAAATAATCTCCTTAAATCTTAATAATATACAAAAATATAATATTTTTTAATATGTTTTCAAAGTTTTTTAATATCTTATCAATTAACAGGTGATTGATACATTATCTAGAATTGAGAGTAATATTAAAATTAATCAATATCATATTGTTAACTTTTGTTATAATTTATTTAATTCTTGTCATATCTTTTTTATTATTATCTTTGTTATTAAATATATCTTTTACTATTTATAAACTAATTGTACATTATTATTAATTATATCTATTAAGACTTATGTTTATAAATAGTAATAAATTCAATAAATTATCAGAATATCTTATGAAATAATCATGCAGTTTTTTGTTAAGTTAGTTTTCAATTAAGTCATTAAAATTAATCTTTATTTACTGTTCTCTTAATGTAGTATCATTTAATATTTAAATCTCTATAAATGCTAATTAATATCAGTTTTTAAAGGAGATCTCAATAAATATACCCTACATTTCCTAAATATGGAATACTTTTGAAAAAGTTGCATGAATCTTACGAAATCAAAATGAAGAAAAAGACTAAAAAAGATAAAATTAAAAAAATATGTAAAGAATGAATTTAAATAATAATAGTTGAAATGTTCTTTATGAATAATAATTATCACTTTTACTTAAGGTCTTCCAAAAAGCAACTTCCTTTTTGTTTAAACAATATCTTTAAATCTATACCTGATTGATTTATAAACTATCCTTTCAAAATTAAAGCTCCTTTGGCTTGAAATATTGCTTCTTGGGATATAAGGAG